TTTTTTTTTTTTTTTTTTTAACGGGTGTAGGGGGGAAGGCAGATTCTTTACTCCAAAGGCAATGTATTGCTGGTTTATTTCTCAATATTTAGGAAAAAGTAGCAATTTTTTTAATTGCTGTTCAGTTGCTAAAAAGTCTTTTAGCTGAAATGCAGTAAAGTTTTAATTTGTGAATATTTTTCCTCTCTTTTGCAGGAAGGTAAGAAATTATGGTACTTATATTTTGGGTTTTTTATTCCCTTCTTTTCTGCTAGGGTTTCAAGATAGATTTAAGTTGCAAACAATTGACAGTAGACTTTGTGAACCAATCAGTGCTACAAATTAGCAGCCAGGATGTTGAAAGTAAACGTAGTGACAAAACCGATTTCGCAGAACAGCTCGGAGCAATGAACAGACGTTGGCAAATCCTGCAAGGCCTGATAACAGAAAAGGTAAAGAAAAAAACCTAGCTGCTCTGCAGCAAACTTTCAAAATACATAGAACTATAAGATAATAACGGTTGGAAGCCTCTGCAAATCGTCTAGTCCAACCTCTTGCTCAGAGCTAATTTTACAGTTAGATCAGATTGCAGAGGGACTTGCTTAGCTGAGTTTTGAAAATCTCCAAGGACAGATTCAACTACGTCTCTCAGCAGTCTGTTTCTGTGCTTAATGTCTCCTGTGGGGAACAAGTTTTTACCTTGTTCACAATCAGAATTTCCTTTGTTGCAACTTGTGACTGTTACCTCTCCTCCTTTTACATGCATCTTCAAGAATAGTCTGCCCCCATCTTCATCATAGCTCCCCATAAGGAGTGGACAGCACAATGAGGTGCTTCCTTTGCTGCCTTTTCCCCAGGCTGAATGAAGTCAACCTCTCCTTCTACATCATGTGCTCCAGCCCCTTAATAACCTTAGTGGCCATTCACCAGTTTGTCAATCTCTCCCTTGCACTGGAGGGCCCAAAATTGGTCACAAGTATAAAGGAGAAGGACAGAACCACTTCTCTTGACCTGCTGAGTGCACTCTCAATAATCTAACCCAGGATCCAGTTGGCCTTCGTCAGCACAAATGCACGCTGCTGATTTATTATATTCAAGTTATTGCCCACCATAGCCCCTAGGTCCTTTTCTTCTATCCAGCCTGCTGCTAGCCTGTATTGTTGCATGAGGTTATTTTGTCCCTGGTACAGGACTTTATGCATGTGGAGATGGCTTGTGGTAGGATTTGTGGTATAACCTTTTACCAGTCATCAGCAACTTCCTCCAACCACTGTGACCTTTTAAAGGTGATAGACAGCAGCCCTGAAATAACATTGACACTCTCAGATACATCCTGTCTGGTTCTCTATGGACTTTAGTATGTTCAGCTTGCTTAACTAGTCCTTAGTTCTCTCTTCCTCTTCCATGGCTAGTACCTCTGTATGCCAAAAATTTGTTATTTGACCTGAAGACCTGGGAGGCATGAGAGGAGACCTTGTCAGTAAGATCAGAGCAGAGAAAGCACTGTGTACCTCAGACTATTCTGTGGTTTTCCCTTAGTTGCTGATGTACTTGTGAAAAGTAGCACAAAGTGTTGGTGTCCCTCACCAGTTAGTTCCAGCCAAGATTTTGCTTTCCTAACATCAGCCCTGCATGGCCAGGCCAAGATTCTAGGCCTATTCTTTGTAATCCGCTTTCTGTGGATTTGTTATTTTTGTGGCTTGAGGAAGTTGTCCTTGAAGACCAACAAGCTTCCTGGACTCCTTTGTCCTTCAGTACAACCTCCCATGGGATCATGCTTACATGAACAAACCAGTCTGCTATTCTAAGGATCTTTAGTCTGCTCCTTCCTTTGCTGAATTCACTCACAAATGTCTCATCACATCACTGTGGCCAAGGCTGCTATTGACCATCACATCCTCAAGCAGTTCTGTGTCACATTACAGCTAATCAAGATGGCTCATTCCCTAGAGTGGAGCTTGTATTAAGTAATGTGAATGCTTTTTATGGCAGTGCTGCTCTGTTTTCAAATTCTGCGCTTTTTTTAATTTTTTTTTTTTAAATAGAAGTTGTATCTCATTTACTATTGAATAACACCTCAAACAATCAGAAAAGTCTAAGTAACTTTAAAGCAGTCAGGACAAAGAAGATAATATAAATCTTCATCTCTTTCACACAGTTATAAGCAAGGAATATAAAATGTATGTTTGTATGCTTAGTTTTATTTGGGAAGTCCTGAGGTCCTTGATCTCTGAAAAGAATTCCACTTCATAAAAATGTTCTGCTGAAGTATTAGCTTCTTTCAGTGTGTCATAATATTTTAATATGCTGTCTCTGTATAATTATTTCTGGATAAAGCAGGTTTTTTATTATGAGCTCTTTTGAAAATAGCAGATATATTTCAATTTGAATGCATAAATGTTTTTAAATTATGAAAGCATTGAAATCTGAGAAGGCACCAGTCAGCATTGGTCTTCCCTGATTTATTTAATTGACTCAACAATAAAGGTAATTGTGTGAGAAAGTATATACTCATATTTCTTTGCAGATCCAGCTGTTGGAAAGTCTGCAGGAATCCTGGACAGAGTATGAAAATAATGTGCAGTGCCTAAAAACTTGGTTTGAAACCCAAGAGAAGAAGCTGAAAGAGCAACAGAAAATTGGAGACCAAGCTTCAGTACAGAATGCTTTGAAAGACTGTCAGGTAATGTCCCCTTATAAATAACATTATCTTTCAAACAGCTAGGAAAAACGCTTGATAAATCAATGTGAAATCTTCATACAAGTGAAGTCAGTGACAGAACTCCTCTTTACTTCAGTGAGGGAGAGATTTCATTTCTAAAGTGAAAGCAATGAAAAAGGAGGAAGGAACAATACTGTCCCAAAGTTCTTTAAAAGCAATCAAAGTAATTATTCTTTTTGCATTGTGTGTTAAAGCACGGACATTTCCAAGTATGCCAGGCGTACTGAACTAGAAAGGCCATCAAAGGAACGTGCTCCCATTCCTGTTTAGCCAGTCTTGTGGAACTTGATGTCATGAACACCATGCTTGACTATTTGGAAACTTGTTTTTTCTGCCTTATCACTACCTTTCCTCTGCTCCCCCCCCCCTTTTTTCTATTCTTTTTCCATCTGATATATTCCACCTGACTATTCAAAGAAAAATGATAGAATCCAAGGAGGTTTTATGCTTTTATTCAAAATGTGTTAGGAATAATTTTTTTTTTTTTCAAGTATTCAGCTATCCAGAGAAGAAAATAGTGCTGGATTCCCTTTTGCTTTTAGAAGACTGAAGGGGAATCATGATTACAATGGGTGAAGACAGGATGAGGCAAAGCTCAACTATACATAATGCACATAAGTTCAGAATCACCTCAGTTTTTCATGCAAAATTCATACAAGGACTACACAGCTGTGAACAGGATATCACAGTTGACTCTGAGCATCTTACTTAGAATAATACATTTAAGTAGTTAGAAACTTGCTTCTGGAGCTGTCAGGCTAGAGTTCAAGCTTAGAGATGTATAAGCAAAATAGATTTTTCTGAATGTATAAACAAAGTCTTTACATGGTATCAGGCATCAGATAATTTACGTGCAAAAGTATGTTGTTCTGCCAGACACCAAATAATAAATTTAACACCAGATCAAACGTGTGAGTAAACTCTGTCAAGACAACTGCATGCGCAAGATCTTGGTGTTCTCATACCCTTAAAAAGGAGTAAGGAATCGTGTTCATCTTGGTGTGGCTGTCTTTCCTGCATGCATTTAATGAATGGGTTGAATATGATCTAGTATTTAAGTCTTCACAAACAGAACAGCTGGAAATCTATTTAAATGAAATTCATGAGAGAATTTAATCTTTATTCACCAGTGTATTAAACCCATCTTTGTTTCTGTAGAGGCAAATAGTTGTTTAGACCAGATATGTTAGAAGCAAATTTTTCTTGTGAAGTTCTTGACCTGTTTTCAAACTGATTGCAGTGCTGAGTTTCAATTCAGATGTCTTTATGGTTTCAGCACAATATGCCCATATGTCTGAAGCAAGGGTAATTTAGCATAGCTTGACATAATCAGCAGGCTGTGCTTGGCTAGAGTTCAAAGCTGAATGTGATTTATCACCTTTATGGTTCCTTTTGGTCAGGGAAGTTAGCAAATACACTTGGGGAGTCAGTTATTAATGGCAACGCTTTGATCAGCAGAGAAACACATTGTTTAAGCAATAACTGCATCGGACAGTCCCAGGTATCCAGTTGAACTAGTACAAAAGCTGCAGTTTATTTATTAACCGATATTAGTTGCTGCCTAGTGTCATACTAGCAAGCTAAGGGAACCATTTTTTCCCATCACAGTTCAGAAACAGTAATGTGTCTTTAATTCAGTTACGAGTTTGAAATGATGAGTAAAAAACCCCTTTTCATAGAGAACCGGAAATATTTGCTATTCTTGGTGTTTGAAACTTTTGCTTATTTTACATTCTGAAATTTGGAACAACCTTGCACAAACTTAAATGCTTATTTTAGTCTTAAAATACACTTTTTGATAAGTCAAATTGACTGTGTATAACTTAGAAGTGTCTGCTTTGGTGTCAGCTGGTAAAGAAGAGATGTATTACTCCAAGGCTGTAGTCTGGAACAAGGTCATGGCGAGAAGTTTGAAGAAATGTGAACTAATACAGAAGAAAAGGCTAAGAATAAACAGTACACCAAAAATGCTCTGACATATGTGGGTAGACAGAAGTGTGTTGTATGTGTGCAGGGATAAATTCTGTTAATAGCCAGTGTTTGCAAGACTGGGCAGAATTTCATTCCAAATACTCTCCCCAGTATCCAAAATGTAAAGTCTGTTATGGCAGTGGTTCACTTGTTGTTTTGTTGTTTTGATTCTTAGGGAGAGTAATTTATTGAAATGCATGGGGTTTAAGTTTGCCCAGGGTTTTGTTTTCTTGTTTTCTTTCCCTGATGATCCATCTCTCTCAGTAAGGAAAGGCTTGCAGAAAATTAAAATATAACCAGAGATCACAAGATGTACTACTTAATGTAGAGGCATCCCAAGACTGCTCTCGCCTCACAGTCTGCTTTCCACATCACACTGACTACTTTGTCTCCAGACAGGTAAACACAAATTTGTGTTGGCCTGAAGCCTACAAGCCATGCTTTCCCCCTCTGCTCAGACTTTGTTTGCACTACCTGAAGCTACAGAGCTTCCATACGAGTCACAGCACTGCGGTACTTTCTTGAATCTCCCTGCACCGTGCCATGAAGTTATATGCGTAGTTTCCTGGCTAGCAATGACCTTATGGGAGCATGCTATATGACTCACAGTTGCTCACTGAGTCAGCTTTTTCTCTTTCCTTCATTTTGTAACTTCATTCTCATGCTATTGATACATGAGGAAGATCACAGGCTTTGTGACTAGCGAATGTTACATACCAGAGCTTCTGCACTTCTCTTATTGATAAAACATGATAAAACCAACAAACTTTTAATCAGCATTTCCATGACCAGTCTTAGGTCATCTTAAATCAACAACACAGCGCTTGCCTGAAGTAGCAAAACAAGCCACTAACAAGTTGTCATGGCCTCAGTGCTTATGTACTCAGCCCTTTTTTCTTCACATTTTTTCATGCCAACTGTTCATTTTCTTCCCAATTTCTTGGGTTAGTGTGTGGGAATATTGAGCAGAGCAAAATGCTTCCGAGCTCATTTAATGCTTCCCAACGGCATGCAACCTTGAGGAGGCAATAAGGAAAATTCCTGCGGTCTGTTGCTTGTTCTCATTGGCTGGACTCCAATGAACTTGTCATCTATGAGAAGGCTCACAGTCCTTGGGCAAGGGGCTTTGCTGGGACCTGGCAAAGGAATAAAGACTCCACTTCATGTGGGGAGGCATGGCAAATTGACATCTTTCCCTTTGTCACTTTGTCCTTTTCCTTGGGTGGCAAAATTCATTTTTTTTTTCCAGAGGCTTGAGCCAGCTTTAGACTAATTAAAAAGCTTTCTCAGTGCTCTAGGACAAACTAAGACACACGACAGTTTTCCCATGTATTCAAACTGCTGTCCTATTTTTAATGAGTTTTGGACTCTTACATGAGAGCAGAAGGTTACAGAGAATTTTATAGTAGAGGACATGCTTCTATTTAAATTAAAGGCAAACAACTATGCTTTAAAGGGAACGTGAAATATTAAATAAAATTGCCGAATATTTATGATTCTCTTGAGAATAAAAAGCCAAAGTATGCAAGCATGACTTTCCTATTTTTTTAAACTAAGGAGTTTATAAGCATCTTTTCTATCTCAAGGCATTATTTATCCAATTAAACAAACAAAAATATTCATGTATCTTCTTTTTCTTTTCAGGAACTAGAAGAATCAATAAGAACAAAGGAAAAAGAAGTAGAAAATGTGGAACAGAGTGGTCTTTCTTTGATACAGAACAAGAAGGAAGAAGTCTCTTCTGCTGTTATGAGTACACTGCAAGAAATTAACCATTCCTGGGCCAATTTAGATCACATGGTAAAAGAATCATGAAGGGGAAAATTATACCTTCAGGAATAGGACATGGAGGAGAGGGAGAATTAGCAGTTTTCAGCTAGTGGATTTCTTCTGTATTATAGAGGAAGAGATTCTGAATTGTGTCACTGTTTCCACCCATCCCAAAGTTGTTGTCATCCAAAGCTTGATAACATCAGTCCACCTTCTCAAGAGGAATGCAGAATGCAGTGTGTTAGTGCTAGCCTTTCTGCTGACTTTCATAGACTGACTTGCCTGCCTTATGGATAAGTGTTTAATAGTCTTAAGCAATTTCTTTTAATCCTGCTTTGGACCAAAGTAGAAGGAACGTGATACCTTCTCAGTCCCTGCCATCCTAGCTTCATAAAATCAAGCAGAACTTTCTGCTGTACCCAATGTAAGCTCAGCTAATTATTGTGCATAGTCTTCGTTCTCCAACAAGTTTAAGATTAGGCTTGTAGAACAACTAGTATCTGAGATCAAAAGGAAAGAAACAATTTAAACAGAAACCAAATATCTTGAATGCTTTTAATTTACTTTTTTTTGTTGTTGTTGCTCCTTCCTCCTAGGTTAGCCAACTGAAAATATTGTTGCAATCTGTTCTTGATCAGTGGAGCATTTACAAAGTGGCTTATGAAGAACTGAATAGTTACCTGACAGAAGCCAGATATTCTTTGTCCCGTTTTTACCTTCTTACTGGTTCTTTGGAAGCTGTGAAAGTCCAAGTTGATAACCTTCAGGTGAAAAGAATACCATGCCTCTTGACATGCTAAGGATGGATTTAAGGATTAATTTTGTCCTTCTTGCATGGATGCAGAGAACTATACATTTTGGTTCATAAGAAATGGAAGTACAGACATACTAGCACATTGATATCACATAACTTCTTAGATTTTTAATGCTGTTCTTTAAATTTTGAACCATACTGTCAAATCATTAGAGTTTTTAAATCGTGCTGGTAACTATTAAAATAAAGTTTCTCGCTCTGTTTTGTCACGCTTCTGAGCTACTGCACGTGTTGAGATCACATGTTAAACCTCCTCCTCCCCACCCCACCTCAACTCTGTGGTTGCAGTAGACTGAAGAGCAAAGAAAATAATGTTCCTAAACCAAGTTTTGCATTCATAACCCGTATGACGTAATTGATACATACTATTCTGAAATGTTTCTACATCATGCAATTGTAATACCTTAAGTATCTTTTTTTTTTTAATATATTTATTCTTCTATCTGTTTTAGAGCCTACAAGATGAGTTGGAAAAGCAAGAAAATACCTTACAGAAATTTGGTTCTGTGACCAATCAATTGTTGAAAGAATGTCACCCACCAGTGACTGAAACACTTACCAACACTTTGAAAGAAGTGAATATTAGGTAGAAAATGTCTGTGTGTTGAACTTTACTTTCACTGATAAATTTGCATTTATCCGTTGACCTAGGTTTTCATCATTTCTATTTTTGTTATATTTTATTATTTTATGTTCTTGGGGGTTTTGGAGGCTTGTGGGGGCAGATGGGGTTGTTCCTTTTGCCAAGGGCTGGAGCAGAACTGTCTCATTTACTACTAATAATAAAAGTAACATTATTCTCTCCAGCAAAACATTTGGACATTACTGTCAGTAGTTTTGCTCCATGCATGGCTGCCAATCAAGATGCATAAACACCATGCTGGAAAAATAATACTGCACTTAAAATGCAAGAAATCTGTCTGGAAATTTTGTTTGCTATGCATCTACCAGGTTCCCCAGATTTTAGGTTGCTATTTCTAGTTGTAGGAAGGGCATGATAGGCAAGAAAATCTAAGCCTTCATCAGTAGCTTGGCAAACAGCTTCCCCAACAAAAAAATGTCTGGATCTTGTTTATTAACAAATGTCTTAAAAGCCAAAAGACCATGAGGGGGAAGAGGGGCAGGAATAGTTCTTGTGGACTCCCAGGCTTTGGTCATTCATCCAATCTCTTCACCAGGTGGAACAACCTCCTGCAGGAGATTGCGGAGCGGCTGCGTGCCAGTAAGGGCCTCCTTCAGCTGTGGCAGAGGTACAAGAATTGCTACCAGCAGTGCTCTTCTACAGTCCATCAGCGGGAAGACCAGACTAATGAACTCCTGAAGACTGCCACCAGCAAAGACATTGCTGATGATGAAGTTACTACTTGGATTCAGGACTGCAATGTATGTTCAGTTAAGCTCTGCAGTTTTTCACAGCTCCATGGGCTACAAATCACAAGACGTTCTCTATTACTAAACTATATGCTTAGTATACTGGAAACTTGCATACAAGCACTTTTCCTTTTACTGATGCACCTGAGTCACAGGGGATACAGCTTTAGGTTTGCTACCCAAATCTCATGAGTTTCTCATACTTCTCATGTGATCCCTCCATTACTTGTGGTGTTGTTTCAGAAGCTTGTATCTGAAGTCATCTCTCTGGAGAAGACGGATAAATTATACCATTTCATCCAGTCTTAAGTCCCTGCTTATCGAAGGGATTCCTGATTGGGAAAATATCTACCAAATCCGATGAGTTTCTTACAATAGAAAGAAACACTAGAAGTTTTGACTATACTCCCAGCAATCAAGGCTGTTCACTTTTTCTGAATGAAAAGAGGCCGTGTATGTTCTGGGGGTGTCTCTGTCCTTCCTTATGGAAGGACAACATTCACTCTGAAACCTTCAGATTCTTCCTTTTTCAAGACTGTTTCTCAGGGAAGCAGGATAGTTTATCTCCTATCTGTGGTTACATTTTTGTTCTTTTGAGTTGAAGTTAATGTTAAGTGTCACTGACAAAAGAAATAAAATGTTAATTGTCTTAGTGTAAGCAAAACAATTGCAAGGAGAAAAATGAACACATTAATGAGCTTTTTGAGCATATGCTGCCATAGTCATCTGGACTGGCAATTCAGATTGTTCAGTTTGAATAATTTCTTAATTTCCTCATGTCCCATTCTTTAGCCATTATGTTAGGCCATTTACAAAAGTTATTTTTTCATCCCTCCTGGTAATTCGTAGCAGGAAAAAAAGGGAGGTCTAGTCAGACCTGAATTGACCAACAGTGAAGGCTGTCACTGCTTAGGACCAGCATGTCAGTAGGTTAAAAAGGGTTATTACAACAAGTATTGCCTCATCAGTAACTCAGGTTTGCTCACAGGTAGCTGAGCAGTCACTTCTTTCTGTTTCTCTATGCACAGGTACTTTGACACTTTTTTTTATTCTGCACATCATTTTCTTTTCATACAGAGTGTGAGTGGACATTTTGCATTGAAATATAGGAGTAAATACAAGTATTTCATATAGTGGTGGTGTTCAGTCATTTTATTCCCCCTTTAAATCAGGGGAGGATGACATCAGCAGAGTGTCAGGTTAACTATTCATATCTTTGTTCAATGTATTTCCACAGGATGTACTCACAGATTTGAAGACAGCACAGGAGTCACTGGTTGTTCTTCAAGAACTGGGAGAGGAGCTAAAAAACCAGGTGGAGGCTTCAGCAGCAGCAGCTATACAGTCTGATCATCTTGCTCTGAACCAGAATCTGTCAGCCCTAGAACAAGCTCTCTGCAAGCAACAGGCTGTACTTCAGGTATGCAAGTCCTTGAATCTGATCATCCTGTGGTATCTAAAAACACACAAATTAGCTAAAACTGCCTGGGAAAAGAGGCTGGTGCCACCTGTTCAGTCAGCATTTCCTAGACTTCCCAGGAAGCCAAGGCTCAGAGTAGAAAGTATGCTCAAGCCCAGCACAGAAACCTTGTAAAAAGGTCCAAATTCTGGGAAGAGGATAGCAAACCTCATGGAGAAAAGTGTTTATCTGGAATGCCAAAGGCACCATGCTTTGTGCTGACAGCTGGATCTACAGCTGCTGCTCCCCTGAAGACAGCCTCTCTTCCCAGCTAGTTCTTTACCAATAAAACAAATGAGAGATTCTGAATGTTGTGTAGAAATTATTTTTACAGTTCCTGTCAATGTCAGTGACCAGATTGACAGCTACGATTTGTGTCAAAGCCTGTTCAGTGGATGTTGCTAATTTCTTGTGCCACCAGGGAACAAAGAGAAAAAAAGGAGTGGCAGAATGTGTTCTATGGGAAAGTATATGGGTGAGAAGGCAACAAAGGTAGTGGCTTCTGTTTGGATGACAAGAATTTACCCAAGAAATCCAGCATTGTCTAGAATGTGCTTATAACATCACTGTGCTGTAAGGAAACAAAACATAAGAGTTTTTCATTTCAAATTGCAATTCTAGTAACTAGTGGTTCTCTCTGCTGACAAGGAATTAAGGGAGGAGTTAGTTTCATAAAATTAGAGAAAGTTATCTATTTCAAGGTAAGGAGATATTTATGCGCTTTGAAGTGTTGCCTTTTTGCTGTGATCAGAAGTCCTCTGTTCTAACAAAAAAAACCTCAATAATTCCACAGTCTGTGAGCAAAGCAGCAGTTACTGTTGCTCCTAGCCTATACAGCTGTTCACAAATCTATAATGAGAATAACCAGGAGTGTAACGTCAATATGGATGCTGTGTGGCCTAAGTTCTTCAACCGTGGGTCCTTTTCTATTCAAGGCTGGAGTGCTGGACTATCAAACCTTTGCCAAGAACTTGCAAGTCCTTGAAGCCTGGGTAACAGAAGCAGAAGAAATATTGAAAGGACAGGATCCCAGTCACTCAGCTGATCTCTCAGCAATACAGAGCAGAATGGAAGAACTCAAGGTGACTAATAAACACAGAAAGTGTTGATTATTTTTGTCAGCCTCGTTATATGTAGTACAGAGTATGCACAAATATCATGCATGTATTCTATACATATTAAATGACTGTCACCCATGCAAAGTGTAAGACTGAGAACTTAAAAGTTTGGTGGCAGTCAAGGAGTGATTGTTCATGTTACTTTGCCCCTGAGTAAAGAAGAAAAGGCAAACTGTTTAGAATAAAATTAATATAAAATCAAAATGGGAATGGAAATTTTATCATTTTTTGGTGATTTCCTTCATCTTGTTTTCTCTTGACTTTTTTTGAATGTATGCAATTCCTACCTCAGTGTTACTTAGTTTATGTATGAAGTCGTCTATTCATTTTGGGTATCTTGATATACTGAAGAAACATTCATGCTGTGTACCATGTGATCTCTGTTTGAGGTCTTTCACTCTTTTATTTTGTGGAGGTTTTTTTTCCCCCTCATCTTCTTTCAGAGGCCCTGTCAGGAAGTTGATGAACTTTGCCATATAGGCTGGTTTTGTCATTTTAATCTCCCATTGTTTTTCTGTCAGGATTAACTATACACATAATTTCACTTTGGACATGCTAAACAACAAGACATTTTCCTAACATAGTGAATTGGACATTTCTGTACAGCAAAACAAAAACCTAAAAAGTTGAATAAGTTCAAGGGGAATTTGCCAGCCTAGCATTCAAGCTAAGAAACAAGGAAAACGGCTCACTTTTTGGCAATACAAAGATATGGATTCAAACACTATCCTACTTTTGCAGCTCTGAGCAGTAAATCTCCAATTCAGCAAAACACTTCAGTGCAATTTCAGCTTACTTCTCTGTGCATGTTTAAACATCAATATAAGTCGTCTTCTGGTCTGAGAGCAGAGGCTGAGAACTGGAAGTGCAATTTTTCTGTGGCATAGGGATTGCTTGCCACTTGGTGGCAACCAAGGCCATTCCAAATTTAACTGAGTGCCAGGTCATACGTTTGCAGTCTATAATAGTGTAATTACTGAACTTCCTAGTTATCACTTTTACTGTTTGTTGCAGAGTCAGATGTTGAAGTTCAGCAGCATGTCCCCGGATTTGGACCGCCTCAATGAGCTGGGTTACAGGCTTCCTCTGAATGATAAAGAAATCAAAAGGATGCAGAATTTGAACAGGCAGTGGTCTCTGATCTCATCACAGACTACGGAGAGATTCAGGTGGGGATAGTTAAAGATTGCTGAATGGTTTTCTTAGATTACAACAGCTAGAAAGTATACCTTTTGCAGAATATAGAAAGCATTTCAGATATTTCGTTAACCAAAGATCCTTTGCTTTGGTGTACTTACAAGTAGTGAAGCCAGTGAGCTGAGATGTTGGGTTTGCCACAAATTAACAGGGTTTGAAATGAAGAAGGCTGCTACTTTCCAAGGTTTTGACATAATAAATGGAATGAGGCAGGCGAGTGGGACAAGTGGGATATCTCTTCTGGAATTCTGCTGGAAAAGTTATTGCAAGAGACTTAACACTGTGTGTGAGAGGAGTAGATCTTACCTGACTCCATCTTTCTTTCTTTCAGTAAACTGCAGTCTTTCTTGCTGCAGCAGCAGACCTTCTTGGAGAAATGTGAGACTTGGATGGATTTATTAGTTCAGACTGAGCAGAAGCTGGCAGCAGAGATTTCAGGAAACTACCAGAGCCTTTTAGAACAACAAAGGACACATGAGGCAAGTCATCATGTGCATTTATACATAACTACAGTACATACTGTTTATACATGAATGCAAAATCTTTTGTGGAGTAATATAATGGTAAAGGCTTACGCCTTGAATTTAATTACAGTTGCCTGCACCGTGTGAGGATGTCTTAACTTAAAAACAGAAGCATGCAAATATGTCAGTATTTGTACATTTTGGGGAGGACTTGAGTATTTGTTTGCATTTGTGTATAATGCGTCAGTATGGCCATGAGTGCTTGCCCCTTACATTTAGTCTATTTGAGAGTGGTTTGTGCCAAGGAACTCAAACTTTTTATTGGTCTTCCCGTAGAACTTAACTGTTCTCAGGCAATTTGGCCCTTTACCTTCAGTTCTAACTAGAGAAAATGTATGTTATTTCTGTTTATTCTGGTTTTGTTTGTTTGTTATTAAATTTACAACATATACAGCATCTAAAGAACATGTTAAAGGAAGACTGTCAAATACTGGCTATATAACTCATCATGGGGCCTCCATTTGGTAACATTTTCTTGGAGAACAAACTAATTTGATCTTGGCTGTGTGCTGGAGTCATTTGTCTGTTTGTAACAAATCAAGAACTAGCCCAGCTTTTGCTGAAGGGAAAAATTGATTCAGAGTTTTTACCAGAGGATGCCTTTATGATTCTTCAGTGAAGTGATGCACATTTTTTCTCCACCCATATTGTTACTGCCAAGAATCCTGGTAAAGATCAAGCAAGACAAGTCAATTTTAATACCAGATCTCCCATGTGGCCACAGTAGTTTCAGTTCCCACAACATTTTCAGCTGACCTACCCATAGACTCAGGCCAGATCATAGGAGTAGTCATGTCCTTCCCCTCCCTCTTGCCTTATATCTCACAGCATAGTGTTCGGGTGAAAGTCTGATAGCAGAAAGTAATTCACAACTGGTTTTGCTTGCTTTAGCATATGTTTGCTTTAGAATTTAGCTGTCTTTGCGTTACAAATGTCATCTATTCCATCTCTTCTCAGTGCGGCCAGCATTGACTGGACAGTGTCTTTATACGTTGGGACATCTCAGGTCTTTGAGATTTGAATGTCCAGAAATCATTACTAAGTAAATAATTTCCTACTGCTGTTGTGTCCAGTTGTAGCTAGAATTCTTTGAAAGAGGTTAATGGCAACCTTCTTGCATTCAATTGTCTTGAGATGTCAGCTTAATTCTCTCCTGAAACCTTGATCTGAGCAGTTAGCTTAGATGAGTGTTACTCAGGCAGTCTGTTGAAGCTTTTTCTATTACAACTATAAAGTCATCTCTCAGAATTTAGAGAGCTAATATCTGATTTTCTAAATACTACAATTCATCCTAAGAAAATTTTGTATACTGTATCTGGGTTTTTTTACCAAAAGCTTTTTGGCATTTTATATAATCTAAATGTATTCAATACTTGGTGTTGTTTGCAGTGCCTCCTGATACTCATGAAGATTTTTCTTTTCAGTCTTCACAGCTGAAAGGGTCAAATCTAAATTTCTTGAGACGAATTTCCAGATTGTTTTGCTTTGTGTTTTTCAGGATAATTAGAAAATATTCTGTTTCCACATGCATTCCCAGAATGGATATTGAAATGCCTCCAGCTCTGTTATCAGCTTTCCAGTGCCGACTCATAACTTTGCTGGTGTTTATTCAAAGGGGACCCCAGCTACCTCAGTGGCCTTACTTAGAAATAACTTCCCACTGAAATTTACAAAGCAGCAACATTGAGGGGATATCTTTGTCAAATATTGTGCACTGACACTGGCATCTGCATCAGATAAGTCTGTCAGGACGATCTTGTCGTCATTCTTGTGCAGTTCTCCAGATATCCCTTCACAAGCCTGGTATGTTTCTTGGGACTCTGGCACAGTGGGAATGCACCGAGACAAGCATTTGAGAAAGTGCTGGTAGGAGAAGGGGAATTTCCTTGCCAACTCAATTACTGAAATTTTTTCCAGTGAGCTGGTATTGTGCATTCCAACACCTGCCCTCCTTTCCTCCTCCTTCGCATTCCTATTACTGTGATTCCTAGTGATCTACATATGAAAAGAAATTGAGGTGGCAAGTGGTCCCACGTAACAGACCATCCCTCTTATGTACAGAGACAGTGTACATGCAGAGGGCAAGTGGATGCTGACAGAAATGTCTCTGGTTTTGGGTGTGGCTTGAATACATCATCTCTAAGCAGAGTTGCTCATGCTTGATATGCTTTTGTTTCACCTGTCCTCTTAAAAAAAACTAAAATTTTCACATTGGGATGGGTTTGGTTTTGTTGGTTTCTGGTGGTTTGTTTTCTTTTTAACCAGTTGTGTTCTATTTAGTCTCAATCTGTCATCAATGCTGGTAGATGCTGTTGCCTCCTGTTCTTCATCCATGTCACCTAACTTGACAGAAATAGATATGACAGGAAGTAAAATTTCTGCCTTCTTACTCAGCTTTCTGAAATTCTCAATGTCATAGTATTGTTGTTTTGTTCATGAGATAATAGAGCAATTAGTTTCCATCTAGTTCAGGCTCAGTCATTTATAAGAGCCACGATATTCAAAGAACACTACGAAATACTTCTGCAAGGAAATTTGACAACAATATTTCTTTCTATGGGAAAATTGATGACCTAGGTAACATTTTCAAAAGTAACTCAGTGATTGAGAGGGGCAAAAAATCATTTTGAAAAATTAGTCCATCATCTACAAGTCCTAAGCTATGTACAATGTTCTTGAGGGATTTAATTGTGCAAGTGCCAGTGGGTATTTAGCTGGCAGCTGCGGATGCAGGACTTGGTACATCACAATTTGAGCTGGTGGGACGCCATATAATAGGGATGTAATATGGATTTGAGGAATAGTGGCTTTCAGTTCAGGCAAGTTTGAACTTCTATGAAGTGCAAACGCCATCACAAACAAAAGAAAAATAAAATCTCAAGCTTCATACCAGTATACTTTCTCTTTTAATGTCTCTGAAAACCTTTCGAATGTGGAGTGGAGTCCAGTCCTGAGCTGATGCCTGGGTGTACCTTCATCAACACAAGAATATGCCTGAACAACTTTATCTAGAGACGTGGTCCATTACTAAAAGAAAAGATGTTTTGAAAAATAAATTTTAGTAGTATAAGTCATTTTTGCTTGCTTTGCTTATACACAAAAGTATAAGTACATTTTGCAATGGTACTTGGGTATTTTTTTGTCTTAAGTAATATTTAACTAATAACAGATTTTTGAAATTATTGTGAAAATTTATTGTGAGTGGTGGAGAAAATTGGAAAATAAATTGGAAAAATGAAGTGGAAAATTGATTTCTAGCTCCTACGCATGGCTGACGATTTCTTTGAAAGGCTTGTTAGCAGTGCAAAATTGTATTAAAAGTTTGTGTAACACTATCACACACAATCTGTGCCTAAATTCAATTTAACAAGGCAAAGGACAATAATATTCTTAAAGGTATCAGAAAATAAAAAGTGAACTTTCTGTCCATGCAATAAATATCCTATCTCAATTTTGTTGTAAATTGTAGTGCAAATCACACAATTGTACTGAGACACATAAAACCTAGCTCCGGTTGATATTATTTAGCTTTTTAATAGTTTTTTTTAAATGTCATGGAACTAATAATAATTACTAGAAGCAGCAAATAACTCCAGCAATGAGTTTTTTAAATGTGTTTCTATTGAACGCCCATTGAATTAATTTGAAATTAGACTAACTACATGAAAATTAATTTTTACCAGTGCATACAGATGGAATTAAAATGTAAGATCTTGTTTTAACATCCTTGTCTCCTGTACAACAGCTATTCCAGGCAGAGATGTTCAGCCGACAGCAGATTTTGCATTCAATTATCTCTGATGGGCAGCACCTCCTAGAACAAGGACAGGTGGATGGCAGGTAGACATTCCTGTGTTGTTGCCGCTGCTGGTTATGTGAAGTAATACTTAGACTAGTGGGCGTATTCCAAACAGAGAGGGTAGAAGATGTCAGCGTTCAGATCATGCTCTTCAGAGGTAGAAGTTACCATCACTGTGGTTAAGCTATTAATTAGCCAGTTCTTAAATAAGATAGTGTTCTTTAGGATGCTATGGGGTATGTCAATGTGTGAATGCATTTGAGAATACAGCAGCCTTAAGGCTACTTATCTGACAAAGATTTGTCTTGGATTATCAAGCATGTTACCTATATATCTATTTTGGTGTACTTTGAAAATGTCAAGTTTCCCCAAAGGAGCCTGCAGTGGCAGATTTAGTGAGTTACACTTGATTTATGCCAGCTGGGGATGTACTGAGAGGATTCCCTACTGCAATTTAAGAATGCCTGCAGCCTAAATATGTGATGGAATAGGAATTTGTTGCTGTCTGAGATTTTGTTTTAAACACTTGTAATCAAATGAACGAAAATCAGAGAAACACTAGTGGCTTCACAATTGTGCATATGCATTGACTTTGCTAAGGGTATCGTGGTCCTAATATAAGATGAACTGTTTATTGGGATGTGACAATTTTGTTAATGCTGTGTATATCTTATGCGTGCTTTGAGCTCAGTAGTAGATCTGGGGGTGAATTGTAAAATCTCCATGATTTTCTATGAATTTTGCTGATCCATATTGGCAAGACCTGTGGGTTTTCTTTGTCTATTTCTGAGAAGGTAGCAGAGTTTTGTGTGTTTAAGGTTTGGGATCTTGAAGGTCTCAATAATTATAGCTCTTTGATTCTCCCAGTACATGAAGTGTGAAATTCTTGTCCTCAGTCAGCTATCATGAGACTTCAGCGCTTTTCTCCTCGTGTTTCATTATAGACAACCAGAAAACATCTTCCTTTTCCATTCAGTTAATTTCATGAAACAAGTAGCTCAAAGTATGAAGGTTACTATGTATTTTTATTTATTTATCTATTTATAATAGGGAAGAATTTAATCTGAAGCTGACTCTTCTAAGTAATCAATGGCAAGGAGTAATTCGCCGGGCACAGCAGAGGAGGGGGATCATTGACAGCCAGATTCGCCAGTGGCAACGCTATAGGGAGATGGCAGAGAAGCTGCGCAAGTGGCTGGTGGAAATATCCTGTCAGCCAGTGAGTGGGCTGGGCAATGTTCCCATCCCATTGCAGCAAGCCAGAGCGCTACTGGATGAAGTACAGGTATGTCTGGTGTGTTTGAAGAGAGAGGAAAAAAATCCCCACCTTTTATACAGCCTTCATAATTTTAAACATTCTTTAAAATGTATTAGATTCAGGCTATCTGCTTTGCAGAAAGCAATATTGGGTGTTAGTTCCTCTTTGGAACTGGCTAGCCTCAGAAGCAACGGTGTGATGGAAATGAAGTTGGAGTTGATAAAGAACATACAATGGAGAACTTACTGGGCCCTCTCTCTCGAGCCTCATCTCTCGAGTGAGATGTAGCTAACATCACACTGAAACTGTGTTGAAAAAAACAATGATGTCCTATTTGCCGAATGTATTCTAGCTAACAAAAAAGGATACCCCAAGTGTCCATCTTCATACGAGGTTAACAGTGTCTATTTAGCAGCTTGGTGTCTTCAAGCTTTTTGGCTGGATGATAAATATCATCCAGCCATAAATAAAGCTTATAAACGTAATAGGCTTTAGAGGAACTATTTCTTTTTAAGAGCAATTGAGATACTGAAATTAATGGGGAGAAAGAAGTCTTTCATGTCTTTATCTTCTTGGAGAAATTTACTAAAGGTCTGCTGCAGTAAATTACTGTGAAAATGTTAAGAGTAAAGCATTTGGGCAGTAGCTCATGCTTAAGTCAAGGTATGCAATCAATTAAAATAATGGGCTTGAGAATGAATTATACTGAATTGCTAATTGTAATTAAAAAGGCAAAGCTGACAGAAAACTGTTAATATTTTCAGCTTAAAGAGAAAGTTCTCCTAAGGCATCAAGGGAGTTATATCCTCACTGTGGAAGCCGGGAAGCAACTGCTGCTCTCTGCTGACAGTGGAGCTGAGGCAGCCCTGCAGACAGAGCTTACCGAAATTCAGGAGCGCTGGAAGATAGCTAGCACCCAGCTGGAGCGACAAAAGAAACAACTTGCCTTACTACTGAAAGTAAGCGTGTCATTTCTTCTGTACTGCTTCAGCAAGTTTGTGGTTTCTCATTATGATCCCTGTTGAAGAAAAGTGTTCTCAAGGGATAGGTACAAATACAGGAATTGCATATAAGCTACATGAGCTCATGATTTCATTTCACCACCTCTCAAACTAGGCGAGGTAATACTTCACAGTAGGCTTGTATGTTAGTATGTTAGCTTTTAACTGGTATTTCCAGAACAGTGCCAGTAAAGGGTATTCCTACCAGTCCTACTTTCAACATAGAGCAAAAAATTATTTTATTTTGCACAATGCTGATCAAGTTTTATACATACTGTATTGAAAATTAGACCTGCCTTATTCCCTCTACAGGCCAGTGTCAAGATCCATCTGGCAATGTAGTAGTTTTTGTTTCCTTCTAGTGTCTTGAATATTTGCTAATTTAGATACACTTCTGTGATCTTGGAGAAGGAGGCCTTGAACTTTATTTTGCCATAAGCAATGTCCAGAATGCCTCCTATCCTCACTTTAAGTACTGAAGATGGTAGGCTACAATTTAAACTTTGTCTGTTTGTTTTTCCTTTTTACTCATTCAAGGGAGGATAATGATAATTGGATAATTGTGTGTATTAATAGAATAGTGCAAGTGCTTTTAGAATACTTTCAGAGGTCTAATAGAATTACAGAATTACAGTCACTTTAGCTTTGTTGGTAAATAGAAAGAAGCAAAGAAGCTCATGAATATGAAATACTATTTTAGAAAAATTCAGATAAGTAAATTTTTCTTCCTCTTTCAAGCCTTGGTCCTCGTCCCTCAGCTTCTACTGGGGGAATGAAGTCAGGCAATTTTAGTCATGAATACTGTTATCTAGGGACAGTAAAGGTTCTGTGGTATTTTGTCTTAATGAAAATATGGGTCTTAAAGCTTGAAGGTGAGGAAGTAGGGAAATTAGCATGCAAATTGCGTAAATTGTCTCAGATATCAAGGCTTCATTACATTATGCTATCTTGGTCTTAAATACATAACTTTTTAGTGGTCTTCTGATCAAACGGGAAGCACAAGTGTATATTCCAGAGAGTATTTCTTGCATTAAGAACATCACAGACTATTGTCATGTAAGGTCATATTATTTACTAAGGACAGAAAAAAGAACACACTAAGGAGAGGGGTTTTTTTTGCAAGACCTGTTGTTTGTAATTCTCCATCGTAAAGATGATCATGAAATACTGGCATAGACTAGGAAAAATTGGAAGGAGAGAAATACTAAAGTAGTGGTAGAAAGATAATATCTTGAAACAGAAGACTAAGAGAAACAAGTTCCGTATTTTCTGGTATCACACAGTTGGCAGTCTTTATGGGTTGACTGGCTTATTAGGGATCTTTCTATCTGTGACTACCTTTTTAATAGGCTTTAACAAGCAAGTGAGGTAGGTAAATGATAATTGGTATGGTTTGATTACATTGGACACATAAAAAATTTTGAAATTCTACGAACACTAAAGCTGAGTGTAGCTGCTAGAACTATTATTTAGAGCAAATACTGCAGGTACTTCAATCTGATCTTAATTTGCAGTATCCCTAACCACTTTTTTTTTATATTTTCTGGAGGTTAATGCACCTGAATGGAGTTTTTGTCAAAGAATAGTGGCGTGTTTGATACAGGCATTCAATAAAGAAAGTGGAAGATAATTTTGGCAGGGCAAGTCTTTTCAGAAAGGATGGCATTGGAACTAGAAAATGTAATAACAGGAGGCTTTGCTTGTGTATTTCTACTAGCAGAGACGTACACACAAAAAAAATTTACCCCAGCTGTACACATGACTCAAGTTCTGAGACTATAAGTGTTATTTAGAGGGGGTTTTCAGGGCATGTTATTATTATGAAAAAGTTTCACTGTTTAGTAGTTAGTTAAGCAAAGCAACTGACATAAGTATAATCCAGATCTAAGTTGAAGTCCAATAAACAATTTGCCTTCAGGACTGGGAAAAAACTGAAAAGGGCATAGGAGACTCCCTGGAGAAGCTAAAATCGTTCAAGAAAAAGCTTTCTCAGCCTTTGCCAGAACACCATGATGAGTTGCATGCAGAGCAGATTCGTTGCAAGGTAAAGCACTTGTTTTCTGATGACTGTTGTCTCATCTTTGCCTGCCTTTGTGCAGTAACCTCTTCTGTTGTTAAGAGGCTTCACATTACTGACTGTGCAAACCAGTCAGCCTTGCCTGTGACAAGAAACTATCCATGTAACATTTGGACAGCATAATACCTGCGTGATCTCACTATAATGTAAATCCTGTAGGGTGATACAGATTTGATCAAAGTGAGATCAGAATGGGGTCTCAAAGCCCATTAGAAGAAGCACAAAGTACTGGTGTGTTTTTATTATAGAAATTCTGACTTTAAACTCGTGGCATCTGAACTGTTGTTTTAGTGCTTTTTATTTGAGGTGAGATTACACTGGGAGATCTTAGAGAACACTTTTATGCTATATTCTTTGCAGTTTAGAAATGGATTGCAACTTGAAAATATTTTCAGTACAGAGAGGTCCAAAACAATACTTGGAATTCTTAAATACCTGTGAACTTTAGAGAGATTTGAGTAGTATATTAGTTTGTGACTACTTTTTACAAGGCTGACGTATTATTTGCTGTTGGGGAGTTGTCTCTCTCATAACTGAAAATATCAGTACCTATGGGGGGTTGGTGTTTTCTTTTTCTTTTAAATGGGGCTCAAACAGTCTGCTTGAAATGGTGGGTCTGCTCAGATATCACTTTAATTCAGTAGGATAACAATGCATATCTTCATGCTCCATCAACACATTTGAATTTTAATTTTATTAGCAAACTGGTCCTTTTTCCTTGTGTGCTTCTTATAAGGAGTTAGAGAATGCTGTTGAAGGATGGACAGATGACCTTGCACACCTCTCTCTGCTGAAGGAGACCCTGTCTGTGTATATCAGCGCAGATGATATCTCAATCCTCAGTGAGCGCATTGAGCTTCTACACAGACAGTGGGAGGAGCTGTGCCACCAGGTAAGTATAGTACTAAGCACTGATATGAGCGTGTAGGCTACCAAAGTTTTGGGAGAAAAACTGAATGCAAGTGGCAGATTTTAGAAAAGATGCATGTAGGCACACTCAGATTCAACACAGAACTCTTGCTGAATCAGGGGAAACGTCCATTGAAATGCTTCCTTTAGTTACTGCTAGTGTTTCTAGATCTCTTGAACTTTGTCGTGGCTGCCTTGAAAAACCAATAAAAAAGCCACACTGTGTGCTGTGGGACTGTGGCATGGCTGGCTGGGGAAAACACAGTAGTAATACAGTTTACTGTGCTTTGGTGGAGGAGCTGTGCTCAGAAAGGATGTCCACTCCCCACTCAAAATTACTGTATTGTACCTTCATCTCTGCTGATAGCTTCTACTTCTTCAGACATTGGTGTCTGCATTTGTCTTAGTGTGAGGGTAACTTGCTTGACTGTGAAATGAGCTGAGGAGTATTGTTTGATTTTTCAGGTGCATCAGGCTATTAGTGTGTTTCCTGCCTCCATTTTGCACTTAGAAATCCAGGTAGTGGAGTCTCCCTTACCCAGCTTTTCAGATCACCCTAATGTTACTTCTGTGGTTCAGTGCAGATTGTAGTCCAGATATAGCGGGGCTAACTGAAATAGCTACCTCATGTAAGGTACCTATGAAGGCTTCAAAAACACCCCCAAATTAGGAAAAATGCTTCACAGCACAGAACTTAAGAGTTAGTTGCATTTGAATGAGCCAATGTAGACATATCTAAACTACGGTGTAGTCACTGCCTGTGTGTTTGTGGTAAAGGAGTGAGCGAAGTAAACAAGTTTTATCTTAGTTTTGTGTCTACTGAATGTTTCAGGATGTAACCTAGTACAACATTTTGTTCAACCGTTGCTTATTTCCGGAAAGCTGCTGCCAGGTTTACAACTGCAGAGAGGAAATGCGAGATCATGTGTATGCCCCTGTTAAACCTAACATGGTAGCTAAAGAACATATCACTTCTGTTTGTGAAAGAGCAGATGCAGTCTTCATCTTCTCAGCTGAAATGCTGATATAAAATCAGAAACAATGCAGATCACAACGGGGAGGAATTAAGTAGTTGTACAAATGTCTGAAACTGGAGAGATGATTTTGCAGCTCACCCTCTGCCACTATTTTGATTTCAATGTCTGTCTTTGTCTGTCTGTTACTATTCATATTCTGAGATGGTACCACTGCTATAGCAATTTCTTAAACATAGCAATGTTTTACTTCCTCCTGCATTAAATACAGCATTTGTCCATTTAATGTTTTATGTCTGTTCTTTCCTGTCAGGGCATACCTCAATCCTTTGGAATCTCTCAAGGTGTCATGTTTGTTCGGGAGAAATAGTCATCCATGAAATGAGTGTATTAGGACTCAAGTAGAAAATTGCTCATGGAAAATATAGTGTATCTTTGATTTAGCTTTGTACTTACAAATCATGCTCATGCATGAATTACACAGTCTTTTGGAGTTTGGACTATGCTATGTATTATATCTATTTTTTTGCTATGGGCAAGCATTTAGATATTCTTTTTATTTAATCTCTCAAACTAAAAAGAAACTATTCATATACTTAATAACATTTTATAAGTGAGCACAAACTGTAAGAAAATTTATTTTTTATCTTCTAATGAAATCTTTGAAGACATTATAAAACAAGATATTGACTGGCTGCTGAGGGCAACGCTTGGATGCCTGCCTCTATGCATAGGATGTAGCTAACAGGAAACCTGAGAATAACACTTAGCTCTAAACTCAGAGAGTCACACAAAGTCTTTACAGTACAACTCCAGTTTGTTTTAATGACAAGTAGGTGGCTGGAACACTTTTGCAGCGCCAGAGGAGTTCATGCTGAGGCACAAAGTGTTTCAAGCATCTCTTGAATGCATATACTATTTGGTTTTTATTTATTCTCTGCAAATGTTTTAAGGTCTCCTTACGTCGACAACAAGTTAGTGAGAGACTGAATGAGTGGGCTGTCTTCAGTGAGAAGAACAAGGAGCTCTGTGAGTGGCTGACACAAATGGAAAGTAAGGTTTCTCAAAATGGCGACATCCTCATAGAAGAAATGATTGAGAAACTTAAAAAGGTATAGTGCAGTGCATGTATACTTACATACTGTTCTTTGACTGCTTGCTTCTTTTGTTTTGCAATGAGGATACTGAATTAGCTGAAACAGAGGTTTTACCTTACACTGATGTTATAAGTTCCAGTAAGACTGTGTGTTTGTGGTGTTGTCTCGCTATGTGGCATTTTCCTGTCTGTCTTGAGGTAGGACCTCCCAGCATACCAGAGAATGAAGTGAATGCAAAGTCAAAGGCATCTGAATGCTTTGCTAAATGTCCAGTCAGAATTGCCTGTAAAGAGTTTAACTATAGCAGATATATTTATACATTCACCTGTATTTTTTGTATGTTTCATTTAGTAGGGTAGAGCAGAGTGTATTCAGAATGTGTACCCTGACTTCTGATTGCTCTTTACTGTCCAGGATTATCAAGAGGAAATTGCTGTAGCCCAGAAGAACAAAATCCAGCTCCAGCAAATGGGAGAGCGACTTGCTAAAGCCAGCCATGAGAGTAAGGCGTCAGAGATTGAGTACAAACTCGGCAAGATCAATGACAGGTGGCAACATCTTCTAGATCTTATTGCAGCCAGGTAAAACAATTGCTTTGTTCTAAGTGCTACATGGGGCAGATTAATATGCTGGATGTCATGAATTTAAAATCTTTTTGTCTGCCTTTTCATCATTAACTGTGAAATGAATTTATTCTTGACCATCAACACATTTCTGTGAAATTCACCTTCCTGTTTTATTTTACAGTACCTGACATCATTTTTTCAAGATGAGTCAATTCAAAACACTGCTAGAACAACATAGGATCGGTCAGACTTAGAGAGCCTTGCTTCAGTACCAACTCACATCAGACGAGTGCTTAAAACTGGGTGCAGGTGTAGTTTTTCCAAAAAATTCTTGTCAGAGGAATTGAAATGGTGCATTTATAGTTTTGGATTTTGAGAAGAGCAGTTCCAAAACTAAGTCTTAGTTTTCCTGCCTGATCTCTTTTTCATAGATGGAGAAGAGTAACTGCAGGTAGATATATACACATTGGGCTTAAAGTTTCTTTACTCCAGGTCAAAAATATAACAGCAGTTTCCATAACTTAAAAAAATACAGGATTGTTGTTTGATATGTGAAGAAACTGGTCTGTTTGTTTCAACACTTTCTGTTGAGTCATGCTACAGCCTCCCTCCCATTACCGACAATAATTTTGTCACAATTTTACACTTCATAAAACGTTCATGTATTTTATATTTGACACTTCTGTGATGTAAGGACATATAAATTAGTAATACTTTAGTTGTATTAGCAGCAAAGGGTTTGTTTAGCTTTGTTGTCCTTTTTGGTGCGTTCTTTTTTCATGTGGTTTTATTGTATTCCTGCTCTGAAGTCTGTAAGCATGGGAGCAGTAAATTTTATGTAAGCAGAAGCATTCTGGTGGCTCAAGCTCCTTTTATAGTGATTCATTTAAAAATAATGAACACTATATATTTCTTAAAGAACAATTAGGTCAGGAAGTGGTGCATTACGGTCAAGGAGCCTGCTGGTTTCAGAGGAAGTGATATATCACCAGTTGTTGAGCATAAAGTATATTTACCGTGTTTTTGTGTTTGTCTTTTGAAACACCTACTCAGACAAATGTTCAAATAATATCTTCAAGAAGTTTCTGGTAAAAAGTGATTGCATTCAGAAACTGCAGAACACATCTTTAGAGGATCTGTATTGTCTATTCAGTATTAGAGGTTAGTGTCCACTATAGGGACAGGTAAGAGTTCAGGATTCTGTATCATTCTTGAGGTGGAGACATATAAACTGCAATATTATACACTTAAACTTTCTTATCCTGTTATCACAAAGCAGGATGTCAAGTCCTAGTTCTAAACTAACTTTTGTAAAATATTTATTTACTTTTATTTCCAGATCATTTCAACTTAACCTTCTCAACTAGCATGCTCAGCACTATTGTATGCAATTTAACATATAACCCTTTCCATTAATTCAGTGCTTACCAAAGTGAAAAAACTACAAAGTTTGAACGTTGCATTGCTGAAGCTGAGAAGTGGTGAGAGATTTAATGCTAGGCTGTGGAGATTTTGCTAGTTCAGCTGTAACATAGTTATATAGCAGTTAAAGCCCAAGCTGTTGATTCATGTGTGTACAAAGTACTTGTATTGATGTCTAATTCCCATTGGACAAAAGGGTTTTCATCCCCCAAGATAATTTTTAGAAGACTCCACAGGCTCTTCGGAATACGTTGTTACATATTGGCTTGTGTTCCTGTTATGATATTCTGGAGTTTGGAATGTATCATATAACATGATTTTGGCTGCACTTAGCTACTAAATGCAGATTAATTGCTGTGGTGTTGAGAATAAAACACATCTTTTCATATTCTGGATCCCTGACAGCATTAATAAATTATTAGAGCCTGCATGATTTCTGCAAAGCTGCAGTCATCCCTTGCCTAGAGCATTTTTCTCAGTGGTTTGTTTCCTACAGCTGTGAATGAGTGGAACGTGCTCTATGAAAACGCTTTAGTAATATAGTATGGTAATATGCGTCCAGTCTGAATCTCTACCCGTTGATTTTGTGCTGTGTGGTGGAACTTCTCCATTCACCTGCAAAAACCTCTTTCTTTCTTTCTTTCCTGCTAATATTCTGTTTTCTTACCCACCCTTTTTAATTGCTTCTCCGTTCTGAGGAGGTCTGTAGCTGCAGAAGAGGCAGCTACAGAAAGGTAGCTGTGTCTCTGCACCAAAGACTTCTGTTTCCGTCCTTCTAGAACATTTGCACCCTTTCAGATGAATGTTTCTGATATGTCAGCCCAGTGCAAAAAATGTTACACAGGTTTACCACCAGGAAGCTGTGCTACTGCTGCAACTGCTCAGGCTTTGCAAAGGAGGCTTTGTTGCATGTGTTTTCATCTCTTCCCCTAGCACTCACGGTCCACATTCCTGGAGATCAAGTCTGGCACATGTTGATGAATGCAAGTTTTATTTAGAAACATGACCACTTGTCACCAGTCAGTCTCATGTTATCAAGCAACGGCTGCTAACATTTGTTTGGCGTGCAACATTTTCTGCACGGTACTCACCAGCAAAGAGAAGTGTGTCCCCTTCCCTCCCCCCGCCCAAAGCACAGTGACTGCAGGCTTTTGGAGTGGAAGTTCTTCTTTTTATTGCTGGCATATTTCATGGTGGCGGCAGAGGACTTGCATGCTGTGAGGATGGCGGAGGACGGCAGTGTGGATTCAGATCTCCCAGACTGTAATTGTGATATCACAAGGCAGGCAGCTATTTTTGTTTGCTTTTGATTGATACAGTTCTTTCTGAAGTCTTGACTTGCTGGGAAACTAAATGAAATACTGATATGTAGGAATCACTGCCTTTGCTAGAAATTACTGTTTTCTGCTCTGTTTAAAAACAGTTGTCAGTGATAACAGCATACTTTGTTTTACAGCTAGTACTTTTGGATCCCAGAATAATTTGTAGTTACTGATGCAGACTTGGAACTAGTAAAATCTCTTAACTGTCTGAAAGAAACTGTAGACTGGTTTTACTGCTGTTTTTAAATACAAGAGCATGTACACACATGAGGGAAAGCAGACTTTGTATTTGTCTGCTCACTGTTTGTGTCATCAAAGGGGCATGGCTACAAGCGAAGGGTAGAGAAGGAGAGAGGCTATAAAGAAAGTATGTCAGACTTATCTAAGCTGGTCTGTCCTGTACATATTAACAACTGTTTTGTAATTGCATGTAATACTTGAACTCAGCCTACATTATCTTGGATTTTTGATTCAGCTTCTCTTTTTCCCTGTTAACATTATCTTTTTTAGAAGTTTTGCTGTTGTTCAGAGTTCCCGAAATTTACTCTTTCAAATGGGAAACTGGGATCTGAAGAGCAAACAAAACTGGTGGTACTAGTGTCCTGGTACGCAGTAGTACCGTACTTCAGACAATAAAACTTTTTTAATCATAAAAATATCATTTTTAAACTGTTTTTTTAAAAAATTTTTTAATAGTGTAATATTTTTCAGTATTTCATAGAGTGTTTCTTGAAACTTTGTCTCCAGTTCCAAGTAGATTTAAAAAAAAAACAACTTTTCTACTTTTTACTGGATTTGTACAGGCTTAGATATCATGCTTTTACTGACTTTTTTCATGTTGCTTTTAAAGTTTAATATTAGTAACCAGCTGTCTAAATGGCTAATGCAGTAGCTATGAGTTCTATATGATGCATTGTTATGTATTTACAGGATTGTTCCTGTTTAAGTTTAAGTGGAATCTAAGGCTAATTTAGGACTAGTTGAATTAAAGGTATTTGTGCTTAATTTCAGCTCCAAATTGTTCTCCCACTGCCTTTTCTTAATGTAAAATAGACATTCTAAAGTTATTACTTTCATGGGAAATCCAAGGTGCAGTAACTGGAACATGGAAATGTAAGCGTCATAAGCCCATTCAAATTTTCTTATGATTTTTGTCAGTAAACCATAAAAACAAACAACCGAAATCTGCAGTATTTTCCTTTCTGAGAGTCTTCAGTATTTGTAAAATGTAGCAAGACTTGTGTGTGTGTAATATAAAAAACAACCTTTAAAACAACTGTCATGGGTCCAACCCTTTAATTTCAGGCCCTGCTATTAGCATGGAAAGACAAGATTTTGAGCTGTTACATTCTTGAGAGAGATGCTTTTGTTGCACACACACTGTGTAATTATTTGTACACAGGCAATGAGATGAAGAGCGTAGGCATCTTGCCTGCTAAAATTCAGAAGGAAAACTGTTAGACATGATGGATTACATCTATTATTCATTCACAGATATGTATTCAGAGTAGCTAGAGGCACAACACTGTATTGCAGTTCAGTGAAAAAAAGTAAGCCCAGCATACTCCCAAGGAGCACTTGTTTATTTGCTTCTATTTGTACCATGGGCAAGGAACCTGTTATGTTAGACTCAGTACAAAAAAAGAACAGTGTTAACAGTAAATGTAGCTGGGGGCAGGAAAGGAGTTGTCTTTTTTCTTTTTTCTCTGTTTTTTTTTTTTTTTTTAACTTTTGGAATTTTGATACAGGGAATTGCAACAGTTTGGTGGGAGGACAGGTTTAGCAGTAGGTTTTGGTTTTAGCTGAAGTGTTCTTTTAGTATGTTGCGCTTTTTTTCTGTTTCTCTCTTGAGTAACTTAGGTCATGTGACTGAAAATAGCTCCATTTGGGCCAGGGTTGTTTTCTGCCCTGGCAGGGATGTATTCGCATGCAGTCTGCCTGAGGCAAACAGGTCACTTTCTAGATGACGGGCCCTTTATCAGATGTTGCAGGCAAAATGTAAATAAAATCTGGCACAGAGGTTAGAGTGCTCTACAGTCGCAAACAAGAAGAGCCTGGTCCACAGTTTGGGCTTGCAAATGACAGTGACATTTCTTCTACACAGAGCTGACATGACTCATTGTTCCCTTTCCCACTCCAGCATGCATGTGAAAGATCTGTGGCATCCAGCCTTGAAAATCTGAGCAGCAAATGGGCAGGATTTCACTCCTCTTCATTATATCAGAGACTGAAAATCTGTATGGGAGTTTCAGAAGACTGATAACCAACCCTCCTGCTCACCCTCTGAGCAAGTTCCAATTGGTCCAAGCCCACAAAGCACTGTATGGACAATTATAGGTGACAAGGAGATGGTGCCCCAAGACATTGATTGTTCTCCTAGTATCTCTCCAAGGCTAAATACATAGCTGTGTTTTGGGATAACCTGATGATAGGGACTGGGGTAGTCTTTCAGCACAATTGTGTTGAATTCATTCCCTTCATAGCTAGATTTTCAGATTACCCAGATTTTTTTTCAGATCACAACCCTGCAGCTGTTAGTCATGAGACTCTGGCAAGGAAGATGCATTCAAACTGTTATTAAGCGTGTGAGGCTAAAGAGCCACAGTTTGACCATCTGTGATCTAAAGAGATGGCTAGTAAGAGATAAAAATTTGAAAGATTTAACTTTTAGTTTTTTTAAGTTGGCATTAAGATCTCTGCATTTCTCTTTGGTAAGAAAAGGACACACATATTAGACTCATAATGGTCAGCTACAACTACCCCTTTAAATATGGAAACACTTGATAAACATGCTGGTTAGCATTATGGAAAAAATGTGAATTGCTCTGTTTGAATTACAGAATAGTCAGAGATGGCATTTTGTTTGTTTGACGAATCTGGCAGTCTTGTATTTTTCAACCCAATTTAGTCAGTCTATTCCCAGCTGTACACATCTCTTAAAGTTTTCTGATATTGAAACACTTAAATGGAAGAGCAAGAGAAGCATAAAAGGGAATGTTATCAAAAGTGTTTGTTGTGCTACATAAATGGAAAAAAAAAAGCTTAGAAACAATTTCAGAATCCACTAATGTATGTTACATAACATGGTGATAGAAAGGAGGGAATTACTGACAGACTTTTTTGCAGTTGAAGCAGGCTGAAGGAAAAAATATCGAGACAGGATGAAGACTTAGTCAAATTTTCTTCACTCTCTAAGCTTAATGTTCTCTTCAGTAAAAAGACTCCCACTACTTAATTTTTCCTGGCCATTACTGTTACAGGGTCAGGGTTTCAAGAAAAATGCTACTTGGAAATCACCATGCAGTTACATACCAATTTCATCTGTTTAAATCTGAAGTAGTCCATTAGGACCAAGAACAGCTTATAGCAGCCCTTGGGATTCAGGAATTCTCACTAAGTTCTCAGCTGGATCTCTCTTTTTAAAACTTATTTCTTCAAGGACAAGTCTTCACATTGGAACAGGCTGCCCAGGGAGGTGGTAGGTGTCCCATCCTTGGAAACATTCAAGGCCAGGTTGGACGGGGCTCTGAACAACCCGATCTAGTTGAGGATGTCCCTGCTCGCTGCAGGACGGTTGGACTCAGCGACCTTTAAAGACCCCTTCTAACCCAAACCATTCTATGATATGTAGTTCAGTGTTTAGAAAGCACCAGCGTGAAAAAGCCCTGTTCACTCAGTGCACTCCACCACCCGTACTGGTTAAATGGGTAAGTTATTAGTAGTCTTAAGAATTTTTGTCATCTGTTGGTCAAATGCACAAGTAAATTACTTAGATTATTTTGGGGTTTTGGTGTGTCTGAGTTCATTTTAAGAAAGGAAATTTTTTTTTTAACAAACATTTAACTCAACTGATGGAGGTACAGAAGCTTTGAAAATGTTGTCTGTCATTAGTAAGCTCTTAAGTTTTCTTAACTGGAACCTATGAGTGCGGGACTATTTGCACATGTAGCATACTTCTGTTACATAATAAAGGAAGACTTCAGAACAAAACTTGCCATCTAAGTTAAATTTCTCTGAAAACTTCCTGAAACACATGCTGTGGAAATTCTCCTTCAGGGTGTACTTATGCTGCCGTTTCTTTTTCTTTACAGGGTAAAGAAGCTGAAGGAGACCCTTGTTGCAGTGCAGCAGCTGGATAAAAACATGAGTAGCCTGAGATCTTGGCTTGCCCACATTGAGACAGAGCTGTCCAAACCTATCGTCTATGAAACTTGTGACTCTGAGGAGATACAAAGGAAGCTAAATGAACAGCAGGTAAAATACAACACACTTATCAGATGCAAGATGACATGGGGAGAACCAAACTAGAGTGTACTTGGGCTGCCCCTACCCAGCTCAATGCTGAGAGGGCATGAGGCAAAGAAGTGTTTAAATATCAAGGCAAGTGGTGCTTACTGTGTCACTTATAGAGCCTTCTGCTGGCTTTGACATCGAATCCACCAGGAGCTGGTTGACCTTTCCAAGAAATGTAAGGTACCAAGTGATGTAACCTGAACGAGTTACTGCAATTGTTTTTCCTGTGGGGTTTGTGGTTTTTGTTTGTTTGAATTGTCTGTTCTCAGAGGCTTTTAAAACTGACATCTATTAGACTTCGCAAATTTTGCACATGCTTGAAAATGACTATTTTTTAGCAACCTTTCTAACTCATTTTTATTTTGCAGCTTGTTTGAGAATCACTTTGCACGCAAAGATGCATGAGCTATACATGTAAAGTTTAAATCGGTTGGTTTATAGCACACAAAGACTTTATGCAGTGCTAGAACAAAATAGTCAACACCGGAACAGGCAGAAAAATGTTAAGTCAGCTGGGTTTTGGCATTAAAACTAATGTTACTCCTAATAAGATTTCTCTTTCTTGTTCCACTTCACCACCCAGTGCAGTTTTACCTAGAAGCACGTTGCTGGGGAGGACTGTTGTTCTGTTGTGTTCATGTTGGTTATTTATTGGCAAAAATACCTTTCTGGTGCCTCACTGGAGATGGGTTAGATGCTCTCCTGAGTTCTTTCTCCAGAGGAGAAAGAAATGCGTGAGGAAAGGAGTGCCAGAATATTTTAGGGCTAATTAATTTGTGAAGTGTACAAACTGGCATTTTGCTCTTCTAAGCAGAGTGTGGGCCTGAGACCCAAGAATCCCTTCGGAGTTTTTGACGACTACCCAACTGATTTGCTACATGGCTGCACAGAATTGCTTATTAATATTCTATATGTAATTTATGTAGGGATAATAATTTATAACACAAAAGCATCACTAAAGAGTGGTGTTTCTGAGACAACAAAGTGCTGGGCAGGGCTAAACAGTGCTATCCACAGAGTAGATACTTGAGATTTTTTACTAGCATCCCACAGTTTGTTACAACCACTTCTTGTGGGACTTACTTTGGGCCCAGAGACTGCTGTAACTGCCTTCTGCAGGTTCCTTTTGGTGAGCCCTGCACAGTGACTGTGTGCAGTGATGTTCTGTGGCAGTGTGAGTAGTTTACTTTGAATTCCAAAGGGGAGAAATAGAGGTGAATTTTATCCTGGGAGGGTGCCTTGTTTGGATACTTCATGATGATTTAATTTCATAACTCTGCAAGGCGTGGTTATAATAATAATTTTAAAAAACCAACCACCTTCAGTGTACAGCTACCAGTATTTTTATTAGTCAGAGGCTATATCACTATCCACTGCATCTCAGAAGGTATGTTGGCCATCTTCTCAAGTATTTCATCCCTCTCTGTTCTTCCATTTGTGATCTTACATTCTTTTCCATGTTTGATATTCCACTGAGGTGATGTTATCTTCCCTGCTCATACTGCTACCAGTTGTTCATATACAAAATTAAATTAAAAATATTATGCTGTGAAAGATGAGGGCCAAATTCCACTTCTGTAACTCCATTGCCTACTTCTTAGCATCTACTTCAGCCAAGAATCAGCTTTGCGGATTGCTGGTCTCTGTAGTGAAATTAAAGGTAGAAATGAAGCTGGGGAAGGTAGGGTAATTTCACTGCAGTATATTCCTAGGGTCACAAACTGCATTTCAAGGATTACTTGTTTGTTTACTTTCTCAATCTGCTACCACTTGAAATGTGTGAAGAATGGTGTTTGCTTTTGGGTTGATTAAGGAAAAAAAGCTGTATGTGGGTGACAGCAGTGCGTAAATGTGATGCTCCTTTGTCAACTAACCCAAAGGCTGTTTGTTCTCTAAAAAACATAGAAAATTTTAAAATCTGGGAAAGAAATATAAGGCTATGGAGAAAAAAAAGTGTCGGCATAGCTTGTAGAAAGGTTCTGTAGTTGAATAAAAAAGTTTAATCCTTAGGAATCCTCAGGACCAACTGGCAGCTCTCACTACTGCTCTACTCCAAAACAGCAGAAGGGAGATTGCGTTACCTGAACTTGCTTAACCTCAAGTCTCATAGCTGCCTGGATTATGTGTTTCATAGGGCATTGCATCTGTTTATAGTATCCACCCTTATATAACATTTCGGGATGGGCAGAAATGACAATAAGTACTCGGACATCATGATGGAAGAGTGTTTTCCAGGCAAGTGAAAGGGCCAGCAATGAGGAAGAAAACATTGTGATTTTCGACTTGATGGTCTCATGTAGATGTTCACAAAATATCCTTCTGTTTCATAGATGAGAAGAGGGAATAGATGACTTCATTGAGTCCAGCCCCAGTTATCACAAACAACCAAATCAGATGGTTGATACGAGTTGACCTTGCTCCATTTCAAATTTGCTGAATTTTTTAGATTCTACATTCACATCTCATTTCCTGGTGGAAGGCATTTTCAGAACATGATATTGCTAGTTGTAAGAAAAGTTCCTCTAGTTATACCTTAATGTGGACAGACACAGTATGCTGACACTATGTGTGTTTGCATGTTATAGTTTACTTCGCTAGCAGAATTATAAAGAGCAGTTTATCTCTACTCATCCTCAAGCTGACAAGTTCTTGTTCTCCTAAATAAAACTGCACCTCTCTAATTATCCTTACAGATTAACATAATATTCTAGATGCAATATATCACTTTCTGGTGTAGTCACATTAGTACTTCTTTGTCCCTATTGGAATTACATTGTCTGGACTTTGTTACTGTCCATCCTGGTTATTCCCTCTACTGTTCTGATGATTCATTTCAAATGTAGGCAAAAGTCAAGCAAGGTTTCTTTTCCTTGCACTGATCCAACAGCAACAGCCAATTACTTTTATGGCTTACTTGAACCTATAGTTCAAAACTGAAGCTGAAACATTGCTTCAAAATGAAACATTGCCATCAGTGTAGAACAAGCTGTTGCAACAAAGAAACCAACAGAAGCAATAACAGTCATCACATATAGTAAGTGCTAAGACAGTGTAAGTGTGTTTTCTTTAGCTGTCCTAAGTTTTCATTTTCCACTTCCAGTTTAAATGCTATAGAATTGGAAAGTTAAGGAAGAAAAATCTCCTACTAGCGATGCACTGTTCAACATGTGCTGCTGCCAATCTCCGTGTCAGACATGCCACTTTGCAGCTAACTCACCTGGGGAAGAGTAGATTCATGAAAGGCACCTCCACCAAACCCTCGCGGTATATAAGAACATATTTTCTTGTCACACTTCTGCTAACTTCTGCTTTACATTCTCTGCAATAATGGGAAAGGGCTGGGAATAATTCCACCACTTATTGGTGATGTTGATTAAATGTATGTGAAAGATGCTCAGCTGAGCATGCAGAGCTCTGGCAGTTTGTCCCAGGTGAAGGTTTGGCGTTCGTAGTCCCTGGGAGAGCTGTACATGCTGCCAGGTTCTCCTGGCCTCATTGACAACATTGCAACACCACTTGCGCAGATGCAGTCTCTTAATAGGTATTCACTGGATGTTTTTCTCCTGTTTGCAAGCTTATTAATTTTTTTTTGATAAGTAGAAGATAAATACGTTTGTATTTATGCATGTTTTGCAATTTCTCTTAAGAATTGATTTCTTCACCTGCAGGAACTTCAGAGGGACATAGAAAAACACAGTACTGGAGTGGCATCTGTTCTCAATCTGTGCGAAGTGCTTCTTCATGACTGTGATGCTTGTGCCACAGAAGCAGAATGTGACTCTATCCAGCAGGCTACACGCAATCTGGATAGAAGGTGGAGGAACATCTGTGCGATGTCAATGGAAAGGCGACTTAAGTGAGTCTAAAATGCCTACAAATTAGTATTTTCTTCCACAGGCACAAATGCGGCGGCGTTGTGTGGCATTTGTATGTGCCTTTATACAAGACAGATATCAATTATCAAATTTTGCTTACAAGGCCTTTGATGAAATTATGTCTTATTTCCTATGCCTCATAGAAATGGTGAGAGAGAAACTGGAGAAAGCTTATGTGATAGCAGTGGCTCCAAGAGATTTAGAAAACATGACCTAAAAGGGAGAGCTGTAGCACTTAATTTTACCCTAGAACTACTGAGACTGATGGGGAAACTAGTTATCGAATGGGTGGAATGTTACTCCAGGTGTTAGGGTTTTTGTGCACCTAATATTCCTCAACAGTTTCTCTTATGTGTGATTTTGTTTATTTGGAAGAATTTTAGGACTGAACACTCGTGAAGTTTCCGCATCTGTCCACCTTAGCTTTGCTGAGAAAGTGTGGGCTGTAGTGCCAGTGCATCTTGGCTGTGGTCTGGTTTACTGCACATGCTGAGACCATCTGAACACTGAACGCCCGTGATATCCAGAGGATTCATTCTATTCCCAGCTAGGATAGCATGGGTGATTTTGATAGCAATAATGATGTAGGCTAGATTGGGCAAATGCTATATACTCTGTGCTGACCAGTAACAATACAAGTTTAAGTGTTTGAACTCCTGTACTTGTGAAAATATTTCTGTATGTTTTAAAGTTACTGATCAGATTTATGTGATGTTTACAAGGTCATATCAAGAACTCTAGGTGAAGTTTATGACTTTTCAAAATGCTGAATTGAACTTTATATGAACTATGGTTTTGCGGGATATTCTTAATGTGTTTAGTAAAGGTTTTCTCTATTTTACGCAAAAAAAAAATGTTGGTTTTAAGTTGTGCTGCTCTATATCCACAGGTTGCCATCTTTAAGTAATTTTACACTATTGCCATGGTAATTCTTGTATAGCGTGTATATATATATATAAAGACAACTTACAAGTTCTATCTTTGACACAGCCTGTCTTGAAAATATACAGGCTCTTCATACTTTTGTGTCCAGCAAATTAATTCAGAAGTATTTTAAGTTCATGTGGAAAAACACATCGTACTCTATTTTATATTCTTGCAATGTACAACTTATGCTATTTGTAGATTTGTACCAGTAAGTTAACTGAGCCATCAGTATTTAAGGTCTTTATTGCACTAGAAACAGTTATTCATATTAAAAAGCAACTTTCCCAATGTCAAACTTCAGGTTAAGCAACTTATTGGCCATAAAGCATGAATTTTGCGTGGATCGTGAAAGTTGTTTGAGTTTTTTTTTTTGAAAACAGGTTGTATTTTTTCCACTGGTGGTTGAATCAAGTGTTATTGAAGTTCTTGGGATTTTACAGTCTCAGTGTTAAGCCAATTTGATTTCAGGATCAAGAGTAAGCCACTATTTTTACATATCCAGTTGAAGTTACATTGTTTGTATTAAACTTTGGAGTAACTTTTAACTTACTTTTTTAAAATAAAGATATGTTTACAGTGTGTATTGAGAAATAGTATTTTACCACTTGTTGGTGAATGGAAAAAAAAAATCTTCATGTCCCTTTGCAATGCAGAATAATGATTGAGAACTTTACTATACATGCTGCAACATATTTAGAATTCTGTAAGAAAAATTTCCGCAGTTGAAGGCAGTGTGGATTTTCTAATCTCTAAAATACTGTCTTAGGTACCTACACTGGGACTGTATTTCAAAAGTTACTTAGCATGTGCTTAGATTTTTAGAGCTCCTATTGCATACTTACAACTTTCTTTTTATACTGATTCCAAAATTAGAGGCATTAAAAAAAAATTGCTGTCATCTTATTCTAGCCAGCCTTCCCTGTGGTCTGTTTATCAGCCTGGCTGTCTGAGTTAGATTAAGAGCCAGTTGTTGTCTGGTGCAGTGCTAGTTTGCTGTTGTAGATGATTAGTTAAAGTCTGGTAGGTCAGATGGCCTTCAGCCCAAGCGTTCCCTAATTTTCCATTGTTTATTGCAGAATTGAAGAGACGTGGCGGCTATGGCAAAAGTTTTTGGATGACTACTCCAGGTTTGAAGACTGGCTAAAAACCTCTGAGAGGACAGCTGCTTTCCCAAGCTCCTCTGGTGTGCTTTACACGGTTGCTAAGGAAGAACTGAAGAAATTTGAGGTGATTTTATAACAGCTGAAATGTAATACCTGATGATCACATAAAAGCAGCCAGCTAGTGTTCTTCCTTCCCATACACAAGTCACTCAGCAGAGACACTGTATTAATATAGTGGAGTTCATTATTTTGTACCTGCCTTCAATGGCAGGTTTCTAGGATGAAAAAGCAGTGGAAGGTGGCAACTGAAAATGTTAATAAATTGATTCACTCTCACTTGCTGTTTGTTCACCAGTGTTAGATTTTTCAGCTTTCTTTATGATTGCAACTTTTTAATATGTCCAGTCAGTAGAGCATTCCTAAACCTTCCTTCAGCAGGTACCTCTTCACAGGCATGCTGCATGTTTTAGCTTTTGCTTTAATTTTTTCCCTCCTCTTCTTTCTGTTACTCTCTGAAACCAGTCCTCTGAATGCTCCTCCTGTTTGGTACAATATCCCCATTTTAGATCTTCATACCTGAAATTCATGCTCTTGCAAGTACTGTTACATGTCCACATGGTGTCCCCTGTGACTTAAAAGTTAAGTGCATGCTTCAAAACTGACAAGCTGTCACTTCAGTCAATGCTTAAGAGTTTGTTATGTAACTCCGTTGCATCTACTACAATGTGATGGCTTGTCTCATAGTTACAGTGGGGCATATACCTGTGTGTAAAGCACACACACACGTCGTGTGGCTAGTCACAGGTGAAAATCTTCTGCCTGGTTTCATATTTGCAAGGAATATATCACGATGAGAGAGAAAAACAATTCTGAAGAAAGAGAACAAATTGTTTAGGCAATTCTGTGAACAGTCAGTTGCTGTAAAGTATTTCCAGTGAAGAAGAAATGCACATTTTAAACAACATCTAACACCAGGTAATACTTTTTGGTTTAACAATTGATTCAAAAATATAAACTGTGAAGCACTGATTCAAGTTTTATAACTGACATTCACATTTCTGAATGTACTGGCCAGGTTTTGTTGTTAAACACTGCCAGACCTCATTATGGTGAGGTAGATTGCTATGGTATAGAAACGTTTGCTTCCTGCACACAAGTACTCTCGCTCATGCTTCCTTCCCATTGTCCCTTTATTCAGTGATCAGCATCTAAATCTCTTGTTTAGTGAGTCTCTCTATGAGAAACACTACTAAAAATATCTTGGCAGTCTTTGATTTTTACAGCTGATCTGACATTGCCCAAAGTCTGTTTCACTGAACCTCAGCATAAACGGTGACCTTCCCTCTCCTGCAGCCTTGTGCAATTTTTACTGTCTACAGAGTGTCAGCAGG